GTTAAGATGCTCTATTCAGATTCAGACTCTAGAGGTTGGACATGACTCTAGAATTCAAGCATTCAGATATGACTCTAGACGTTAAGATTTTTTCCGAGATGACTCTAGAGTTCTTCAGGTTTTACGTCAGTAATTATCGGCCAATTTGGCAACTCGTCAAGAGATCTGTGTGCCTAATAATCAGTCAGTAATGCTATCGCATATTCAGTAATGTTAAACTTTTCCCGATGTTCAGATACCGCCTCGTAGGGAAACCCGATCACTCAGTATTTATTCAAGCCACAGTAGTCGCACAGTTCCGCGACCATCATGTTGAGAAATTCTTCGGCTGAAGAAATCCCCGTATCAGGGGCAAGTGAATTCAGAATCGTAGAAAAGGATTGAGTTTAAGAACTCTAGATTCAATTCTAGACTTATTCAAGTCAAGTTAGTAACTTTTCAGAAGATTTGTAAGCACTGTGCTAAACAAATCTTAAGAATCATGTTTCTCAGAAATTGTTATCGAGAACTGCCATTTTGTCAATCAATTGGCAGACTTCAGGGAGAAATTCCTTGATTTAATTCGAGGAATAGACTCAAAGTTCTTAAGTCAGATCAGTAAGTCATGTTCAAGGCAAGAATTTTCATGTTAAAAGGTTGTTATAATGCTCAAGTCATTGTTAAGGTAACGGTTTCCAGTGTATAAGAGTCAATAGTCCGGGTTACCATGGAGGCTTGAAATAAGAGCCACTTAGCCGGGTATACCATGGAGGCTTGAAGCTGGGGCCGAATCAGTAAGATTTCAGGTAATAACAACCTTTCAAGTCAGTTATGTCAGATATTTTATCAGTCATGATATTTCAAGTTATGATTTTCAGAGATCAAGATCAGCCAATTACTTTGTACTTGCGGGACCAGTTGATACTGGAGCAGCCCTACATAGTACAGAGTTCAGGTTCACGATTTACAGTTTATGTTCATGATATAAGGTCGACGTATAATAGTTGTTCAGCCGGGTAAAAGGTAGCGGTCTGATATACAGACCATTAGTCCAAATTCACCTGGAAACTTGAAGTCGTACCTTATCAAGTCAAGTAAGTCAGTAAATATCACGTTTTCAATCTCGAGACAACTATTTAAGTTGTCTCGGAGTAGTTTTCAGAGTTCGGATAAAGATGATTCAGTCATGTGAGAGTCAAGTCATGGTTTTTCAGCCATGAGAGTATTCAGGTCAGTCATGACAAGATCGAGGATAGTCTGTCTGGTAAGACAAGACTTATTTACCATTTTCAGTATGTCAGCGCCTCGATTCTCAAATTCTGAAGAATCTGAGAAATCGTGGGAAATATTAAGTCATGAGGGACTTCTTCTTGAGGTTAAGTGTAACCTCGGAGGGAGTTAAAAGTTGCAGGTACCACAGGTTGATATTCGCCGCGATGGAGAAGAGCCAATCGACAACAACGGATCGTGTCAGGATGATAAACCGACGCTTTCCATTGAAGGATGCCATGTTTGAGTCTCAGTACACGGGGAGATTGCGGAGAGAGTCTTCACCACCAGCATTCCGATCGAAGATCCGCCAGCAGCCAGAAGAGGACGACCAACATATTTCATAGTTTCGTTTTGAAATCATATCTTATCAGTGGAACACTTTCTTTTAGAAAAGTGCCCATTTTCAGTCAGCAGTATTCTACAATTCACTTAATTGTGAATTGAGGTATCTTCAGTTCATCAAGTCTCTTATTCAGTATTAAATTACTGAATTCTCTAGTCATGCAATCAGTAAGTATAAGCTTTAAGTTAAGCTTGTACATTCCAGTTTTACTGTTTCCAAGGAGCTCAGGAAAAGGTTAAGTTCAGCACCAGTGTTGACTATTCCCGATCCTTCTCGGAGTTTCACTATCTTTAGCGATGCTTCGAGACAAGGGCTTGGGATATGTCCTTAT